TATAGGGCCAGCTTCCGGTCCTGGAGTTCAGGCCAGTCTTTGGGCGGCCATTAGCACCAACGCGGCCGCTGGCAATTCGAGCACGACTATGTAACGAGATTCCCAAGACGCCGGTATATCTTTCAGTCGGCTGTCCTCCATCCCCAATAGCATTGGGACAATGCTGTACAACCGCCTGGCTTGAGGACTAGTGTTCGTTAGATTCTTCCGACGGAGTGAACTCCTGAAATGAACTTACTCGATACCTTCCGGGCCAGACAGAGCGCTAACACCCCCAAGGCGCTCAACGACGCGTCGGGGACCATAGCTACTGCTCTCGATATGGGCAACATTCCAGTACTGACCCGGTCCTCCAGGCACATTCCGGTCATCATGTCTGGAGTGTGGTTGGCTGAGCGAAGAGTCTTTGCCAAAGACTACTATAGTAGTAGTTCTACCCTGTTAAGACTATGTACCACCGCAGTCTGCGGTCCGCAGAGGATGTAGACCCTGCTGAACCAGCATCACTGAGCAATTTAATGGTGCTGGCCCAGTACTGCTGGGTCCCCGTCATTGATAGCGAAACCCTTCGCTCAATTGAGGATACCGAGGAGGCGCATTAGCCTCGTTCCCTGCGAGTCGCAGGGTGCGACCGAAGCCTGCCCTCGGCAATGTGCTTTCTGACTGGCAGTGCAAGTGCCTAGCAGGCTGCGAGTAGCAGCCGAAGTTAAATTCCCACGAGGCGCGGGTAGGGTTCGTGGCATACACTGGGGTGAGGCTCACATGAGATAACTGAGCCTTGGCGACTCGCGAGGTGCGAGTGCTGGAACGCGGGGATGCCAGTCAAGGGCCGGGGCCTGGCAGTGGTGAGCCATGCGAGTCACGCTTTGTGATTCGCACCATGCATACTATGGATTGCATAGCTTGGCAGTAGGTGGATGCCGTCACGTAACAACAATGTTAACAAAATCGTGTGACGGTAACACTCACCTTGTTTCCGCCACGGGGAACGCGAGATTCTCAGGGTAAAATTTGCAAGGGATGTCTCGATGCGCTGCGTTGAGCAGCTCCTTGTCACAAGAGCCCCTGGAATAATTGCGTGGACTAATTGCACATGCGCTGGAATAATTCATTAATAAAACCAAGAACCATTCAAGATTATAATTTATAGTCTGAGTTTCACATCAGCTGTAGTACAGCTGCTGTACAATGCATGCCGTACGTGATGATGATCGCGTCGTGATGCACGAGCCTGCATCTTACGCTGGTTATGTGATGCGGTCGGATCAAGCGACCGTGGCGCCGCTTAATAGGTTGCCAATAGGTTTGAGACCGGTATCCGGAGCCGATCCTGGCAGTGATTGGGACAGTTGTTCCGTGGCGTTGAGCGAGACAGCTTTCCTTCGTTTAGCACGTATGCACAGAGGATTTTGTCCCCTAGTGTCTCGCTAGGAACATTGCCATCATTATTCACTAACAACATATACAACTTGTATTTTCTCAAGTTTCTCTTAACTCATGTCCTTCAGGAATGTTCAGTCTGTGTTGCGTTCAACTCTGAATCTGTCATAATGTATTATATCGTAGTATGAATCTTGGCGTCTGAATCTTGAGTATTGGATTGAATCTAACATACAAGATTCAGACGCGGCCGACAGGGAATCACGATACCGCTCTTTGTGATACTATCAAGGTTCCCACGAGTGGAGCGTTGGGGAGCCTCTAAAATACAATATTAATGAGATACTACATGTCATACATGGACACACAGTGTATGTCTTTGTGGAAACTCCTCGCCGGAACTTGACCGCGAAGTGGTCACGACTTGAAAACTCTTTAACGTAGCGTGAAGGGTGTTTACACAGGTAAGTCAAAACTGCATTCCCTAGTGAGGTCCTCACTAGGTAGTCACGCTACGCTGGTTTAGACTAAACCCTCCCGTTGAACAATGTGAGAAGTCCAACAGGTCTGATTCACAGAAAGTTAATGCCCACAAGGCATGTGGACACGGGTATTTTGCCACTCTTTGTCACCTTGCCGTTTTCTTGAACGTTTTTCTCTCGCCGGAACACACTGCTGGAGATGGAGCTGGAGCTCGTGGTGCACCACAGTAGTGCTCGTGAATCGGTCATTGGGCACAGCCCTGCTGTGAAGGGATCCTACCAGGAGAGAATGAGATTGTCTGGTATGCCTATTCTGGCAGCATCCGAGCTAATTGAATAACTCAGCAAAGGTCTCCTCAAGTGGGCAACACATCGGCATCAAATCTAACCAAGCCGGCGACGACGTTGAATTTCAAACTGACACACTTATTCGGAAGTATGCGACTTCAGGCTGAGTCAATCTTAACTTACTCAGTCTCGAACCGAGACTCTCGGGAGTCTGACTGACGGCTCAAAGCTCAGTACTCATTTCGTTGAGCCTCAACGAAGCGCTGAATACCTCAACGGTTGAGGTATTCAGCACTTTGACTGTCTGCTATAGATTCCCCTCCGGGACAGTTCCTGCTAGCATCATCGAAGAAGACCCTTCCTGAGGCATGGGAAATACCCTATGTGTATGCCACCTTCGTTGCAACTCTTCGCAGTCCATTGAATTTATAAATCAAAACTGTACAAGATGGGGTGTACGAGCTGGAACTGTTTAAACCTCTAACCTGGAAGTAGCTCTGTAATGATCCGAAGCAAACTGTTAATCACTGCTCAGTACAAGCCAACTAAATCACTTATCGTGTAGTCCTAGTGTTGCCGCCAGCTTGCGTACAATATGAATCTCATCTGTTGGTTTCTCACACTGTGATGAACTGCTGACCTTTCTGGGGCCATACGCGGATCCTCAGACAACAGATGAGTCAGAGTATTTACTTAGATGAAGAAATCAGAGGGTGGATATTAACCCTTGATTCACTGATTTTTTACTGTTACCCTACACGAAACTTGTCGAGTGTAGAGTGGTGCAAGCACTGGCCCGTGACGCGCTCGCCCGCGAAGCTAGTTACTCTGAGCTATACCTAGCCTGTGTATTTTCGTTGCTGTTGTTGCTGCGGGTTCTAACTCTGACTGTGAGGCTTCTGACACTTTACCTCATCTAACAGTTGCTGGTGAGCGTACTGGCTCATTTTGCCCACCCTCTGCCACCCGGTAGTTTCTGACTGTCTGCATCTTGACGTGCAGTCCTCAACTGGGTGAGGATGGCCGTCCGATGGCTGCAGATGAAGTCGGCAGGGCGGGACGAGTTGAGTTAGCGAGTTTTCGGGTGGGAAGGTGCGATCGGGCCTGTGTCTGCATCTGAACCGAGAAATCAGGAGCATCGCGATTATATATGAATCTCCGACCTGATTCGAGAATCGAAAGTAGATTTTTTTTCCAGACTAATACACTTAGTGGATCTGCCTTGCTCACGAGGCTGATTTCTGGAGTGATTCCGTTAAATCTAAGTATCCTGCTTAGACCTTCTCATACTTTGTTGAGCCTCGGTTCCGTTACGGCGGAAAATGGGTCTTGGTCGTCGCATCGTGCAAGAGTCGTACTACAAGTGTTGTAGTCCCATTGGGACGTATTTGCAAAGAGTCGTACTTCACTTAACTGTTATTTACTTACTAGTGTTGCTAGTAGGCTAGTAATACTGCCAAGCATAGTAGATTGAGCAGTCTTGGGCTAATGGAATAGCATTATGAATAATACGAATCGTATCATATGATCGTCTGAGTAAGAGTGCTACCGTATTATGATGCGGCGTACTGCACCTAGTCGAATCACGGTGAGTCCGACTCATATCTCGCTGAGTTGTATTTTGAAGTTCGATGGGCACTCCATATATCCTTTCATACGTGTTGCATGAACCATATCTACTTTAATCCGTCTTTCCCATCAACTCACTAGGAAGGGCCGGGAATCACAGAGGACTATCAGCCGAATATTGAAAGACTCAAAAATTCCAACACGAAAAAGACACACCCACCCACCTTCGTTCGCCCCCCCCTGACAACTCAGGATTATTGATACAGAATGAATGCTGATGTTATGCTGGCTCGTAAAAGCAGCAATAATAGTATTTACACGCTTCAACTTCGATGAGGGCTTTTCAGAGAAGGACATAGTATTGAATAGCCAACATGTTGAGATGAAGACGACACCAAAAGGATGCTATTGTTGTTGTTATTGTTGCTGCATTAATGCTGCACTATAATAATTCTTCATCATTCTAAACCACACATCGCAAGGTTCAACTTGCTTCCTGCATTGCTATCAATTCGCTTGTCAATTTTCCGCTTACGTCGTTCTACATAATCGTTAAAGCCGGGAATGTCTTTAATAGTATATCTGAAAACAACTCTATTCACCACTCACGTTGATGATGGATACTTATTCAGTCGGTCGGGGTTGTTGCCCTGTAACCATAGATCCACTAATGCTGTGTTCGTGAACAACTCGGATGGGACAGTTGAAAGACGATTATACGACAAATCCATTTGCCTGAACCGGAGGAGGTGGAGGTGGAAAATTCCATAAATTTGCATTCAAAGTTTATATAGAAATCTCCAAATCACTTCGAAAATATCAACAATAACAATTCACATCGTCATCCATACAAGAAGTCCGAGGGGTTATGCATTTTTATGATTGTCTTACACATCAACAATAATGTAAATATGTCAGACACGACTTATATACTCATTTCCATACATCATCATACTGTATCATAGTATCGTGTTCTTATGATAATAGATGCGGAGAAGTCTTCTTCATAATCTAGCACTAACTCACATGAGTCGATCCAATTGCACGTCATCATCGCCACCATCACCGTCATCACTCTTGTCAGGCCATTGTAGCTCTACGAGTTTGTTATGTCTGAAATTAAGACCAATCTAATAACACCAACTGGGGTTCTTTGAATTACTCTGCTTTGAAAGTAACTAACGTCTTGCTTGCTACCCGGAACAGGATCTTAGTCGGAATGGTCTGTAGTTGGTTCCCCGATACGTCGACATCAGTGAGCGCATTCAGCGTTTCTGATGAAAAAAGCGTAAAATTGGATTGCCGCAGTGAACTGACCGAAAACCTCCTCTCCGATGTGAGTGAGTTTATTGTTGGATAAATTAAGTTCCACAAGTGAGCCCGGAAATGCATATCCGCCAACCTTCTCAATTTTATTATCCTGCAATTGCAGTGACTGTAACTCTGAGGAGTAGAAGAAGAATCTTAGGTCCAACCTTGTAAGATACGAATGAGGTCCACATCTTACTTATAAGGAAAACCAGTGAAACTGGGACTTCTCGCAATTGGTTCGAGCTGAGATTTAACTTCAGCAAACTGGCGTGCCATGCAACCTCCTTAGGTACGGTCGTGAGACGATTGAACGCCAAGTCCAGCGTCCGTAGACCCTCCAGATCAGTTGCATCCTCAGGCAACGACCGTAAAGCACACTCACGCAGTGCCTGATTCAACACTGTTGGAAGATATATGCTTCCCTCAGCTCAGAAATTCATTCATCACATTATGGGAATTCACTAGCAAGTAGAATAGTACAAGGAGCAACGAAATTCTTCTTATACTCAGGATCTTTATTATCACAAACACGTGTGGTTGATGACTATATCCCAACACCGCTTTAACAAGGTCACACGCACTTACAAGAACCTTAGTCTGTGAGGCCTGCCGACATTTAGCTTCAACCATGGCTTCAACTTGTGCCGATTTCGAGGTCCGTCCTCCTTTCTGTGAAAGAGGATGTTCATTCCTTCCATGAGAAGCCTCGTCTACGCTATCCCGACGGAGGGCACCTGTGCTACAGGAACAACCCATCGACAAAAAACCAGACTAATCCAAGAGGAAAATCTTCGCTGTGCGTAATAGACAAAGAGCTCCAACACGACAGGTCGAGATATGAACACCTTTACAGTTGAACACATGTTAGTTTTCAAAAATGAGTGGACAATTCAGAAATACAATTCTTCCATCTATCTGTTATAAGGATCAACGAAGAAGATGTTGCACCATATAAAGGGAACAACATTCGTAAGGTTACGGTATGGATCAACATAGTGCTCTGGTAAGCCCATTTTAAGCTTGTACCTAAGAGAATAGTCTCCGATATCTTTCCGTATGCAACACAGACTGACCTAAAACACGGAATGTTACCGCAGAACCCCATATTCCCAACAACGACAGTTGAACTGTTGAGTAGTTCGCGGTGGATAGGATCACTCTCGTTGGCAAGGGTGTGAACGAAGGAGCATACCAAACGGGAGAAATCTAGATAACCCGCCAAACCTGGGAGGAAAACGCAAAGGGATGGTAATGATTTCGGATGAAGGGCTCGTTTAATAATCAAGTGATTCGCAAAAATTCAACAAAGTCGATTAACTATCGAGTAAATATTCACCGTAATTCCGGGATTTTTCACTAAAATTTACTCTAAAATCTTTATCATATATTATTTCAACTTTTATTCTCAAAACCTACCCGTACTCAACCTACCAGCATCCTCATTTCCTCCAACATCCTTCTTCAACTGAGCCACCCTCCCTTTAGGGGCATGGAATTGAGTTGCAGCATAACGGATGGCATCAACGACAATCTCGTGCAATACGGGATCCTGAAGCCGTCCTTTATACCGAGACCACCACTTCTTTGAGCACGAACATGAGTCATTCGATTTGTGATACTTCACGTCGTCAAGCATTGCCACATTTTAGTTGATTTTCTGTCACCACAGTTAAATTGCAATAAAATTATAGAAATTCTCCCGTAATTCCTTGATTCCTACGATATGAATGCTACGACATGATGTATAACTCGACTGCTTTCTGATCATCAAGTAAGTGTTGGTGGGTGCATCACGATTTTTACCATATTATTCAGCATCTTTAGATCAACAATATTCTTCTATACAATTTGGTGATTCGAAAAATACGAGGAAATAGTAAAATTCAAAACACACCTTTCCCAAAATCTGCCGAATAATGAGGCCATTTCCAATACGTTGTGTTGGATTTACTACCGAATCAATGAGTTTCTTAGCAGTTTTGCTGTGACTAGCTCCGACGATGAGATGCTCAGGGTCGTACACTTCCTGAATACCAGCCGTACCTGAGACAGAATAATTGAAGTCACAAAAGTTGCATAAAGATGACCTCCTTGGACGCGCTGTGAGGGAGCGAACTTCCTGGATGCGGCAGTACGCGGAGCTGCTAATAAGACAACAGTTTTGAGAGGTGAGAAAAGACCCTACGTTTAACAGGACGGAATGAGTTCCATTCCTCTGAGATTTCATGATAACGAGTGACAATCTGAGAGGATAATGAAGGTACGATGTCGAGGAAGTGTGGTATGAAATTACGCCAGCTCCTCTGTTCCGCTTGCTGGGAGATCTCCTGCTGTTGCCAGCGATACGGCGAGGACCGCTGAATGCATGTGCGCGAGGGGACCCACGGATAGGCATGTATAGGAGATAGAAAATCAACCTCGACAAGGAATCGAACTTCAGATAGAGCGTTTGAAAATGGGTGAATGACGAGTAGTACGCACACAAGCAGTAATCAGTGAATATCACTCCAAGTTGTCAAGGTTGATATCAGAATCGTCGTCGTCATCATCGTTGAAGGCCTTTCGGGCGAACTGATGAAACTTACGTCGTCAGCCGTTGCGTCGTATCAATCAACACACCTTGATGTTGCCACCAGACCCATTCTGTTTCTCTACGTGCTCTAAGAGCTCCATCAAAGTGCCCTCAAACAAACATCAGTCTCAACAGCTCAGTGAGTGTTTCACCATGTTCATCCATCGACAGACCCAAGTTCAAGCCCCAGCACATACCAATTCGTTGCTGCAGCCTCCCCGACTGGGCGCTTTGTATAATAAGGTCCTCTACAGCACGCTGTTTTTCAGGCCTAACGAGGCCGATGCGGTTTACTCGGGCGATCAAATTATATGCAACCGGCCCGTTGTCAATTACATCGCTCTAAAGCCTCCGATTCCATCATGGATCGCCACTCGTGTGCGCTCCTCCATCGCCCTAAAGATGCGAAGCATGTCCGACTCGCAAGATACAAAACAGGTCCAATTGAGTACTCTTTCTGTTGTTGCATTTCCACCTGTTGTTGCTGCTGCGACTCCATCCGAGCAGCACCCCGCATAGCCGATGCTTCCTACTTAACGTCCATCGAGTGGTACCCAATACTAATGATGAATCCAAAGGCGACGAGACAGACACACCGTCTACAGACAGTCATTACTTAGGGCGTGCGCTTTTTACATCAGAATCGCGCACACCCAAGTGGCGAACGGTAAGTAAAAATTTTCCCTACAGACCAGTCTTCCTCTACCATTCGTGTTGTGGTTGTCGCTGCTTAAGAGAGGAAGAGGATACTGATCTCGCCGGTGACACTATACTCAAATTAAAATGGATTCGAACTTCATAAATTATTTTCCTATAACCCTCTAGGCTTTTTAGTAAGTCCTCAAATGATGATTTTCGATCCGGAAATTTTGTCGCTCGCATAAAGTAGTGTTGATACTCGTACAAGCCGCAGACTTGGAGCCCTTTCTATATTCACTAAAGTCATTATATTTATGCTACTCTTACTTGGAGCACAGAGGTTATCAGGAGTCTACCCCCGGAGACCCTAGTATTGTTGAGAGTGCACAGCAGTTGATGTGATATGGAATACTCAATCACATCAGCACACTCTCCTCATCTTCGATTCTTACTACGTTTAAAATTCTGATCATCGACAGCCTCTCGTATCGGCTCGTCAGTGATGATGAGAACGTCCCAAAGCTCGCTGTGTTGTTCATATGATAGGACGTTAATGCTACCAACACGTTATCAATTGACTGCACACCTTCGTGGAAGACGAGGGGAGCAGTAGTCGGTTGGAGAGGCGGAATTCGAGTTGAGCGAATTTCATCATAAATCTCCACCAAGATGTGTTCAGGTGGAGAATATTGGTGCCATGAGAATAGGACCTACTGGAAGGTAGTAGAGGGGGAAGCGCAGTGTGGGTATACTACGACACATGTTGATGATGGATATGAGAACTCGGAGAAACTCTGGGAAATTCTCGTAGGTTCTTGTACACTGAGTAGTGTGTAACCTTTTATGAGGAAATCTAACATACATGCCAACACCGTGTGAGGGGAGAGTGATAAAATGGGTGTTATTGGTAGTAGCATTAACGAGTCGTAGCCTTTGGCCGTTATTCGTCCATGCCTGTCTTCATTACATATGGCTAGTTTCAACACGTAGTGATGGAGCTGAGCTTGGTTAACCTGAATATGAAACTTGTACTCGCAAGCACTTTATGAATGTGATTTTCACTAACATGTTTCATCAATAACGAACTATTATTGTCATTTGGCCCAGCTATGAGTATTCCCATTACCACACGCCGCACATCATAATGATATGGGACCTCTGATGAGTTGTTCAAACAGAGGCCAGAGTGAAACCCGGCATCTCCAAATTTCAGAATGAATTCCACAATGTGTTGTTAACTTTTTTCGATCTCTTGAGTACCACTATAGACAAAAGAATGCGTCTAGAGCGTTCACACAGTCATCAAGTTACTTTCCGAAATCTTGAAACTGAAATTTCGTTGTAACTTTTCTGTGTGAGCTTACAGGTTGAGGCAGAAATGTGCATTTAGATTACCCATGTTGTGGTAAGTATAATATTTGTAATTGCTATACCGAACACACATTTAACTGTTAAATAGTTGAATCTGATATTCCTAAATGCCCAAAGTTCGTACTCTTCGTTCGAAGAAGGCCCCAGGTTAGTGTGCATGCGTGCAGACTGTCAGAATAAAAGTCATATTTTTCTCAGAGGGATGGGAGGAGATAGAGTCGACGTTAATGGAGATCGACAGGAAAATGAGAGATGCTGAAAATGAACCACACGAAGATAAGAGGAAAACTGAGCTCCTATGGCCAATACATAAACTCAATCATCAACGATCAAGGTAGATCGTTATGGTATTCTTCTGGGCATCATTTGAATCTTACCTCATGGAAGATACGTGTTTGATATGTATTATAAAAAGAAGGCCATCTCCAAGGAGTTGTTTAGATATTGTCTTGATGTGAGCCAACTGCTTCGCTCCGCCTTTTTTGTTTATTTTTCTTGTCTTTTCCCTTTAGGAAGGTTGGGCCGATAAACAGTTAGTGTATAAGTGGCGCAAGCCGGGGTATGATCAGCTTTGCTGTATGCTCTGTTGCCAAGCGACAAATCATAATCAGGTTAGTATCTTTTACGCACGCTGAAGATTCCTCATTGTTATATGTGCTTCCTTAGGGGACGACGTGCATTTGCAGGGTACCACGAAGTCAACTTGGTGAGGGTAAAGTTGTACAATGTGCCCATTGTGGATGCCGAGGATGCGCTTCTGGAGATCAATGATATCACTGTACCTTGATGACTATTAGTATCATACACAAGTTTGAGGATGAGGAGTTGACTTCATTTAGTTGTCAATTATATCACTAACATTTCGACGGTTCGTGAAGCTTTAGACACGTCATAGAATTTCTGAAGTGAAAGAGTGATCCAGAACACTCCATGGTACTGAACGAAAGGCTTCCTATCATAATAATACCAAACACTTGCATGCGGGTCTCGTAAATAGTTGTACTCACAGGCCATCTCTACTTCCAGATTAGATGAATCCATTCAAACAGCTTATGTTAGAATGACGACATAATGAACTGGGCTCTTTGGTGATGGGGTATGCTCGTTAGTGCTTGGTATTGAGCTGGCTTGGCCTCTAACATCGATCTTCGAGGAGATGTTCGATGCCAAACGTGAAAATCATGCTTCTATCACATTGTCGAGTTTCTGACATATCCGAAGTTGAAAGAATACAATGGAGAAAGGGTCGTGATGTGGATCGTGAACTCTGCCAATTGAGATTGACGACTCGATACATATCTAAGCAATCTTTGATAGATCTTACCCATAGTATCACCCGATGTACCCTACCCCTATCACTACTAGAACACAAGACAATTACTCAAGAACCAACCTGCGGCGGGACTACACGTTGAAGACGTAAGAGAGGTGTCCTACGACCAACAAACCATACAGCAACAGTTAAGAAGCTACGACACAACGATTCACATAACGACGCTTCGATTGGAAAAGGTGGGAGTCTCCAAAATTGGCACTTTGGCACTGAGAACCATACGTCCAATAGGAGACGGGTATTTCTATACTAACCCAAAATTAATACTTGCTTATCCCCAGGAGAAGCACTAATGCGAAACTAGGATGAGAAAAGCATAGAATAAACAGAATAGACTCCCTCAACGTGTTAATAAACCGTTAGGGATGCTGGGCTCAGTCCGAGCCCGAACAATTTCAGAGTTCCGCTCCGCCGTAACAGGAACTAAACTCTCAAGTAGCAATTGGAGCCGACGAATGATTCAAACTCCAAATCAAAATAGAGACACTCAAGAGAGTAGACTAATGGCAAGAGGGAATAGAGTGAAACCACTACTATCAACTCTTAACCCTACTCTGTCTCTTTATATTCACATATTCCACTAGGAGAGAGATAAGATCGGAAACAGAAAATGAAGTAGAGTAATATAGAACACTAGAAACCATCATAAGTCTCGACTTTAATAACCGCATTATCATTGACGAGTTGATCCGAACCGACGGACCTAGCCATCATAGCATCTGATGATTCTCTGAACACCACAAAGCCCGTCTTGGGAGGGACAGGACGACCACATTTAGAGGGACAACGTGACTTCAACGGGAGCATAAGAACATGTTCAACAGCATCTTGCTTGCCGAGGAGAGCGTCAAAATAAGCCTTGATCTTCATACTGCATTTGTTGCCGAGCCGATGACAACGCTTAACCATTAGCACGCGAGCGCAGCACTCAGCTTCAGTAGGTGGTAGCAGATCCTTCACATCATTCAGAGTAAGAACAGCACAAACACCAGTGGTACCCGCTGTCGTCGTATAGATGTCGTCAATTGATAGCAAATCGTTTATAGGAACCTCCGCCTCTTGTTGATAGTAGTACTGTAAGGCAGCTGGAAAAGAGATCTCCTGCTCGGTTAAATCACACGGCAAAACAGGAGAGTCGAAACTCGTGACTGTCACGAGAGGACCCAGGGTCCCCGGCGTACACACTTTCGCAACTTCCTCAATTTGAGGCAAAACTAAAACAGCAACCTCAAGACGGAGAACACCATCAAAACCGGAGGAAGGTGCCAGCACGAATAGCGACTCCAACGCTGGGGGCAGGCGAGACGTTATGAAATTCAAACTTGGTGGCTTCATACCTTGCTTGGCATGAATGGCAACCATCAAATGCCTCTTCTCTGGTAGCATTTGAAGAACCTCACCAACCAACGCTTGTTCGTCGGGGAAAAATCTGATAGTCGACTCGGATTGGAGGACACTAACACTGAGAGGGTTTGGTGATGATTGAGTCGTAACCGAGGGAGTGTAGAGATCACCAAAACTGCTAGCACGACTTCCGGAAGCAGTTGAGATCGGTGATAGAGGTGCTACTGTGGGGCACTGATGGTCGAATTCCATCTGAAAACAAGACGGGCAAAATCTTCAAAACAACTGAAGTACGATGTCGATACACAAAAGTAGCTCCATAGGAGCATTAATTCCGGCCAACTGTTGAACGAAGCTGAATCCGCGCCGCAACCAAGTCGAGAGTGGTGACGCTAGCCGTAGTAGCGCTGAAAAACTCTTTGTGTGCACGCTGGGATCATCAGCTTCATAGGTTCGCTTGCACTAGTAATGGTAATGATTCTCAGATCAAACATAAGGAATATGGTCGTTATGAAAGTTCTTGTTCTCAATGATATTTTTACGGTTTGCCATAATCGAATATTATTCCTAAAATTTTCTGTGCACGCGAGCAAGGAAAACCTCGTATTAGAACCAGCTTCATTTTGAATCTTCAAAACTATGCTGAAAAAATCACAAGAAGTCAAATGACGAATTGAACAATAGGATCAGCACAACAATGTTAGCCACCACGGAAATGTTACACAAAAAAGGAGACATCATGCTGACATTCAATTAGCTACAACATAATCCAGAGTGACATGCTGATAGCTCTGTTGATAGCTCTGTCGATGAGCTCTGCCGATAGCTCTGTGGATAAGCTCTGTCGATAGCTCTGTGGATAAGCTCTGTCGATGAGCTCTGTCGATGAGCTCTGTCGAGAAGCTCTGTCGATAGCTCTGTGGATAAGCTCTGTCGATGAGCTCTGCCGATAGCTCTGTGGATAAGCTCTGTCGATAGCTCTGTGGATAAGCTCTGTCGATGAGCTCTGTCGATGAGCTCTGTCGAGAAGCTCTGTCGATAGCTCTGTGGATAAGCTCTGTCGATGAGCTCTGTCGATGAGCTCTGTCGAGAAGCTCTGTCGATAGCTCTGTGGATAAGCTCTGTCGATAGCTCTGTGGATAAGCTCTGTCGATGAGCTCTGTCGATGAGCTCTGTCGAGAAGCTCTGTCGATAGCTCGGGATTCTTCCAGTTTCCTCGTCAAACCACTGCCTTGTGTAAAACGAATGATCGCCAAGTTGAAAATGCTACCCTTAGAATGATGTCTCCTTGCCCAAGAATTCTGAGCTCATCAAAGATTTCATGACCACCGTTTCCTGTCATTTCACTCGATTCAGCATTTCCCAACGGAATGGTCGATTTTCTGCACGCACGCGGAAGATTTGCTCGGCCATTTTTTCGGCTGGTTTGCAATGACAAAATACAGAGTAACACGATACGGCTGATCGGCAGAGTGAGTCCTAAAACCATTATCGATTCTAAGGTTGGTTTGTAATGGGTGTGTTCACGCACAATTCCATTAGCATGGGTGATATAGTTCTCCAACCTAAAATTGGTTTCGAGATTAATTTCCAACCGCATTATGGATCATTTCAGTGAACAAGGCTAACGCGCAAGGCGCAAACAGCTGAGATAAATCACTTGTGAGATTTCCATTCGCGAACTCCGGAAGTAGTAAAGCCTAATTCAAATTACTCATAAGTCTAATCGGCATTTACGCCCATAATGGTGACCTTATGAACAGGTTCCTGTTATCTGACGAACTTACAACTGATATCAACATCGCAGGAATCTTCATCTAAACCATCATGCTAATCGCCGTCACGCGCCAGGAAATTATTAGTAACTCAAAACCGCCTCGAATCACGGACGCGATGCTCTCCTCTTCCTCGACATGTGACCATGTGTCTCCAACCATTTCTCAAGATGGTCCACAGCTCGATGTCGCATCGCCTCAGCTTTGTGTCGGCTACCCATAGCTACCGACCTGCACGTGGTAGCTTCTCGTTGCAACTCGTTAGTCGAAGATCTCCTGTGCAAACGGTTTAGTATCTTCTCTGCTTTTTGCCGTCTTGGTGATGGACTCATCGTATCGTCAACATGAGGAACTTCTACTCTCGACGGGTACGACTTCTCTAGAAGCTTTTCAATTGCTTTTTGTTGTTGTTCATCTTCAGCCAGGCCGAAGTCTCTGCCCAATGTAGCTGCTCTCAACTTAGTAACTTCAAGTGCAAGCTCGAGAGTGTCGCGTATAAGTTCATCATCGGTCTTGCATACACGACTGCTGGGAGTCGCTTTCAAAGCATCTCGTTGTTTGAGTAGAGCTCTACGCAGCGGGAGAAGTTCAGCGAGTTGTGGTATAATATTTGAGTCTGCTGAGGATAGATTGACCTAAGTCAATCCATAATATTAATACCACACGTTTCTCAACGGCAATTCAAACGCTCGCTACTACATCATACACCGAACACTTGTCTAGGACGCAGTCACGTTCCATAATCTACAACGTAAGACATGCATAGATAGAATATCATTCTAATCGTGTGTGCTCTGTAATGAAAAGTCTTTTCTGATGTGCTTCTAGATGAGCCACAGCTCGATGATGTTCATACTAATTCCATGGTCCTCCACCAACACTCAGGTATAAAACTACAACATGTCACTCTCGAGTCCAATCGCGACTCTACCCATTATATGAGATTCACATACATTTAGCATACCCAACCATCTACCTCCCGAAATCGATTATACTAGAGACTACGAGCCAACATAAGGTAGCCCACCTGAACACCAACAGAGGGTCGACGCCGCCGCATATCGGCCAACTTCTTCAGTTTGGCTGTACGTTGAGCGAAGGAGATTTTCAATTCGTCATCGTGAATCGACTTATCAACGACTTCTCGTTTTGACGTAGGAGAATCCTTAAGCTCTATCTCAGGGGGCGTCTCCTCGGCTAACTTCGAATCTTCCTCATTAGCTTGGGGAACATCATCGGGATCAACCACACGCTTCTCAGGTAGGAAGTCTTGCGCACAGCCAAGAATTTCCGCATCTTCAAAGATAGTCTCCTCGCTCGAGATAACATCCGAAACTCTTTCCTTCTCCTCCTCCTCAAGCAACTCATCCACCATAGCAAAACCTTCGCTGTGCGCAAAAGATTCCGCGCCGCCTCCCATCTCGACCTCTAAACCGCCTAGAAAATCCACTGCTATTTCGATAGCAGACATACGCCGCTCCTGCGCTGCTGATCTCTCAAAAGTTGACATGATATTCGCCACCTGCACACTAGGCCATAATCGATCAAGAAGGCGCGCGCTACTTCACCTGGGGGTCTTCTAATGATAAAAGTGAACCCAGCAGAGATTCTTCTTGTTCCAGTGGTGTGATGAACTTAATATCACGAGGGAATACCGCTGTGCATATTTCTATAGTTGCTATAATGCCTGCCTGACAACACTATCATTGAGAGCCGCTGACCTGCCCAATAGAGTTAATCAACAAACGAACGATGTAACTACAGATAAAGTCACACTGAGAAGTTGACTACATCCGACCGACCGACAAATGGCTCCTCTCCAAGTATAGGAATACTATTACAGTTCTATGGCCTCCTATCATTATATAACTATGGACCGTTTGCATGAGCAAAGACGGCGGCGCTTGTCGCCAGTCAGATTAAAGGTGTTTCACCACGATCAATTGAAAACAGGAATTCATCGAAACAAAACATGGGGATATACAAACGGTAGACTAGTAACATGAATAGAAGTATGAACTCATCAAAGCAGCGACGATATTAATACCATCCCCGCCCTCTCACTTCATTCAATAGTTCTACTTCGGTAGTCCGGAATGCATCAATCGAGAGTGTAAACTGTTGGAAGCCCATGAAGGCAACCCCGAGATGATCAGTATCTGTCGGTGACCATAACAGGGTGACGGTTATGATCAGGAATGCTCAAGCTGATCGTCTTGGGATTTTACCAGTAGACAAAGTAAGCGTAATGCGTAGATGATGATGATGATGATGATCAACTTCCTCTCGTAGTAGCAACGGGATCCAATGGCTTAATTCGATTGGATCGGAGTTCAGGATGAACTTATCTGACGAGGAATGCATCGCGGGGATGGAGGAATCATCAGGTTTGCTCAGGTACCTGATCAAACACTACTCATCGGAATTCTGTAGAGCGTGAGACAGAACATGAGAAACTTCGCATTGGCAAACCCCAGCGTACAGCGTTGATGAATAATGAGCCTTCTCGCCGTAATATTTTGCTAGTTTACTACAGCGCGGTGATAGAAATTACTACATTTCAACGACATTAGTTACTATCATACTCCATTCATCATGGCCCTACCAGGGGGAGGGGCGACATAAAGCACGTGTCGATCTCATAGATCCCCCCCCTACCCTTGCTACTCTACCAACGCCCCTCAAATTCATTCGTTCTCCCGCCATTTTGATGATGAAACTCAATAGCGATGAGAGAGCACCCTCAGAAGTTACCACCGACAGCAGCAGCATTTTCCTGTGTCATATCTCCCTTTCTTCACCGGTGTGATACGACGCAGATAGAATACGTAGAGGAAAGCTGTATTGGAAATCATGGCAAGATAGAGCTAATGAAAACATATAAATATAGCCCCAAAGTAGAGATACAAATCATGCCACGACGGAAAGATATAGATCTTGCCCCACAGCGAAGATATAAATCATGTCTACATCAAGCCTGACCCACGACGCTCACCAATCCATCACTCATCACAATAACAGACTAATCGACGTGAGAAACAGAATATAGATATCAGTTTTGTGTAGCCGTCGTCGTCATCATCCGTCCTTCCGGGTTCTTATCGATCACCAATTTTCGAATGTCTTCATAGTGAAGTATATTAGTTGTCATTTTCTTCTTATCATCAGCCAATCGTACAGAGTTGTAATGTAGACCTGAACCAATCGAAATAATTTCGTGGCGCAGTGACTTTTCTCGTACCATCATGATAGCTCAGGACTACACACGGCGCGGAATCGTCGAAATTTTTCATCTCGATCATTTGCAGTTCGCTGGCTTCGTAAGCATGCTACAAAAATGCAAAACATTTCTCGCTTCGCTCCGTGAAGACTAATATTACCTGTGATAACTGCAGCACTACTACATTGACTCGATAATGCTGGGCCAAGGCCTGCAGCTCGATGTTGCCTCCCCACACTTTGTCGTTTTGCATACGCTGAGTATAAACGGCCGTGGTGACACCTGGGGGGATACAAATGGTCCGACTTTGACAGTTCATTCAGGGGCGATTTCACGTAACATAAAATCACTGAGGGGCATCATAATTCGTATGATCAAACAACCCAGGATCGATCTCGAGCCACTTTCGAAGGCGTAGCAGAAGTAAACAAGGTGGCTGTAGAAGAGCGGGAGATCACCCCGATGGAGCACGCATGAACAACAGTACAGCACGTCATCAACTACATCCGAATTATGTAGTTCTTCTAACCATAATCGGCCGAAGCCAACGCCCCCCAAGACACCTTTCACAGTGGCAGAATGGCTGCGAACGTGAACAGCCATCATTAACATTGATACCGTATCGTGGTCGTTAAATATTAGGAAATACTTAGATACTGTGGAATACGCCATGGTAGAGTAACATAATACAGCGGCCGATAGTGTATTAGTATATTACTACCTGGTTCCATGAACGGTTCAAAGGTACTCTCATTTCTCCGAATATACTGCACTGCCGCTTTACGAGCATTCTTGTAGTCCTTCGGGCCATCAGCATCATAACCAAGCTGATCCACGAAGGACCGAAACATACAATTACCATCTACAAGACCAAACATGTACACACATACATACAGCGACGGCAACGGAACAACTGACCATTGTGGACTTCACGTATCCTCAACCCAGCCTCTGCGCACTTCCTAAATGTGGAATCTACCCATATGGCCCATCATAACTATTATTATTACTTTTCAAAGACCTGCATACTACGATACCATCCCTCAGCACCATCAAGATCTATCTCCCCTCTCGCTGCTGCCTCCTCCCTTTCCTGCTCTAACTGGGCTGCTCGACGGGCCAATGCCGCCGCCTCTCTTTTACAATCCTGATACATCCACTTATGAATGATACAGCAAATACTATTCTAAATATCCTCCATTCACTACTGCTTCCTACCTCACTTGCTCATCAATGCTCATACTAAACGTAACACTACCTATTATTACTAGTCATTCTTGATAGACCTATCATTCACAGACATACAACATCGTAAATTCATCGTACATAACTTCGGAAACGTGAATGAGTGGATGATAACATGCGCCTCACTAGAGTATCCCAACCACTGAGAACCCCCTCGTTAAGCTTACCTCCTCCTTTTTCTTGGTCTCAGCCTTCTGTCGGTCCGAGTTCAGATTTGTCGTTTTAAACTTCTTCTTAGAAGCACTTTTCTTGCCGAATATTCCTAAGGTGTGCACGCCGCATGCATGTCTAATACTATATCCCTATCGTGTTTACCCTTCAACGATGCTGTAGAGGCGACGTTGACTTGCGGGGCGACGGGGGTAATATTATTCTCCTCAGACGACGATGTTGTCATAACGGATACAACAGGCAAACCTCACGGAAGACGACTCTGGTTCGAATCCCATAGCTGACATTCTTTATAAAACACAAAATGCTAATGTTATCGAAGAAACTGATCCAACTACTTCGTTATCGACCCCCAGCCCCACTAAGGTCTACTGAAGGCCGCGACCGTTAGTGAATGGCCATCGTAATTAAGCCTGGCCGAAGAACATCTGCACACGTTGCATGATGGAATCCTGATGATAATAATAATAACAAAGGTGGTGATTATTGTTGTTGTTACCTGAGCTGGGTTATAATGAGACTCCTTACTCGGTATCTCGAGAACG